TGCATACAAGAGAAGTATTGTTGTGTATGGAAGGTCTGACTACAGTAAAAAATTTGAACATCACTATGGTTGATATGATCCTTTGTCTTATCCTTTGTTTTTTCCCAACTGTGAGTCTGGATGGCGTGCTAGAATACCCAGACATGGGGTGTGCATTGATGAAATTGTTAATGACAACGAAATCTTCGACGAGGATCATGAAGGTATGAACATTGTCACATATATTTATTACCTTATTAACTCATTTATTAATCTATATGATTCAAATTCGATACTATGCAGAGGTTAGCTCAGGAAGGGGTAGGAAAACTGTAACAATGCGAGATTATTATTGTTACAAGTTCCAGATTCGGTCGAGTACTAACGTCATTCTATTAGGCGAAAGATTATTTCCACAGTTCGTGGTAGATATGTACATCAAGATAGAGACTACACGTTTGTCTTTTATTGAAAGGAATCAAACGAAGATAAGATCAGACTTATACCAAGGTGTCGTGGATTGCGTCAATGCCGGTGAGGTTCAACCAAGTAGAATTGGACAACGAGTTGTGCTTCCTGCAAGTTTTATCGGAGGTCCACGTGATATGCGAAGAAGATTTATGGATGCTATGACTTTAGTTCAAGATGACGGGAAGCCCGATATATTCCTTACCATGACGTGTAATCCGAAGTGGCCTGAAATCCTTAAAGAATTATTGCCTGGTCAAAACGCGCAAGATAGGCCGGACCTTGTTGCAAGAGTTTTTCGTGCCAAATTAGAGGATCTTAAAAATCAACTCTTCAAGAAGCACATCCTTGGCGAGGTTGGGGCATATGTTTATGTCATCRAGTTTCAAAAACGTGGTTTGCCACATGCACATATCCTCATGATAATGAAACYGGAACACAAGATTACAAACCCAGACCATTACGACAAGATAGTTTGTGCTGAAATCCCGGACCCGACAAAGTATCCTGAAATGCATGAGCTGGTGATAAAGCACATGATGCATGGTCCTTGCGGCCATTTACGATCGTCTAGCCCTTGTATGGAAGGTGAGCCGAGAAAATGTCGTTTTAGATATCCTCAGCAATTCAACGACAAGACGGTGCAGACATATAACTCATATCCGATGTATCGGAAGAGAAACAATGGAATAAAGGTGAACGTCCGGGGTAATATCCTTGATAATAGATGGGTGGTCCCATTGTAAAGATCTTCAAAGCACGTGGGCCCACTAATATGAGACAGAAGTAGGCGTAGATTATATCGTTCTCCTTCGGCAGGATTAACATGAACCAGTCGTCCTCTCATTGATCCTTGTTTTCGAGGATTCCATTTACGTGAACTGGCATTCCATGTGTAATGTTTCGGAAAATCTTTGTATAAATATTGTCTCGCACTCATATCTGTTTTATTCCTCTCAAAAAATGCAGTCAACATTGAGCTCTTGTCTCTCTCTCTATCAACGATATCTGTCATTATATCATTCTCTCTGAACCTAACTAGCTGCTTATTCGAAAGATGAACCTGCAAAGCCATCACACAAGGGTGGATTTGAGAAAGTGGAAAGCTAAAAATCCTCCAAATTGCCTCAGGTGGCGAAACATATCGTGCATCTTGAAATCTCTTTATCTCGTTGACAATGACCTCTTCTGTATCAGGATCGACATGAATAACTTGTTTGTCATGACCCTTGTAAACATATTTGAACACATACTTCACAGATATTATACTTGAGCAAACCTCAACATTGATGTGACAGTTGAACATCATTAGCAAATTTGGATTATATGGGTGGCATTATACATCCAACATTTCACAAAGCAGCACTTGAGAGAGGTTTAATAGAGACCGACGATAATTTATCGCATTGTCTTGCCGATGCCTCCTTATTTCAGTTTCCCAATGCTCTTAGACGATTATTCGCACCGATCTTGATTTATTGTGAGCCGGGAGATGTTCGCAAGTTATGGGATGAACATTATGATTCACTCTCTGAAGATCATAGACGAGACTACGAAAATGTTGAGGGAGTCCGAAATATGGTTCTTACAGACATCGCCGTCTTTTTACAATCTATGGGTAAGAACCTCGATGATTTTGATCTTCCAAGTTTAAATGCCGCTGTCAATTTAGAATCACGAGAATTTCGTGAGGTACAAGAGGAGTACTCAATAATTGTGCAAGACGAAGACTTAAATGTTCGAAACTCTCAAATTCCAACCAGAAACATGCATTTGATGAGATCATGACGCATGTAGATAATGATTGTCCAGCTATGTTTTTTGTAGATGGACCGGGTGGAACTGGGAAAACATTTTTGTATAGAGCTTTGCTAGCTAATGTTAGTTCCCGTGGACTTATTGCTCTCGCAACCGCTTCATCCGGTGCTGCCGCTAATAACATGCCAGGGGGGAGAACAGCTCACTCTCGATTCAAGATTCCCCTTACTCTTAGTAATAATTCGGTGTGCAATATAAAAAAACAAAGYGGAACTGCTCAACTGCTTCGAGTCGCAAAAATAATCATCTGGGATGAAACATCAATGGCAAAGAGGCAGGCAGTAGAGGCACTCGATAGAACAATGCAAGACACCACTGGGGTGAGACTTCCATTTGGTGGGAAAATAATGATTATGGGAGGTGATTTTAGACAGGTGTTGCCAGTAATGAGACATGGCACTCGAGCACAAATTGTAGACTCAAGCTTACGGATGTCACCTATTTGGTCTTCGATTAAAAAGTTGCGGTTAACGATCAATATGAGAGCACTTACTGATCCATGGTTTTCGGATTTTCTGTTACTTGTCGGTGATGGAAATGAAGAATCAGTAGACGGAAACTTTATTCGCATACCTGATGACATGGCCATTCCTTACACAAATAAAAATGAATCGAATAATGCTTTGATTGATGCAACCTTTCCTTCTCTTCAAACCTGCGAGACTGCTTCAGATTATATCATTTCGAGGGCGATGCTAACAATAAAAAATGAGCATGTCGACGAGATTTATGATCAGTTGATTGAAAGATTCTGTGGAGAGGAAAAAATTTACTACAGTTTTGATGAAGCAGAAGATGACAAGAATAACTTATATCCGATGGAGTTCTTAAACTCWTTGACTGTTAGCGGTTTGCCCCCTCATTACCTCCGGCTTAAAATTGGATGTCCGATAATACTATTGCGGAATATCGACCCCTCAAATGGATTGTGTAACGGCACGAGGTTGATATGTAGAGGTTTTCAGCAGAATGCTATCGATGCAGAAATAGCTGTTGGTCAGCATGCTGGTAAGAGGGTATTTTTACCAAGAATTTCTCTATGTCTGTCTGAAGATGATATGTTTCCCTTTAAATTAAAGAGAAAACAATTTCCCGTTCGACTTTGTTTTGCCATGACAATCAATAAAGCTCAAGGACAAACAATTCCGGTGGTAGGTGTTTATCTACCGGAATCGGTATTCTAGCACGACCAACTTTACGTGGCATTGTCCAGAGGGATATCACGTGGTAATACGAAGGTATTAGTGAAACCTACCAAAAAGTTCAACCAGGAAGGAGTCTACACATCAAATGTGGTGTATCAAGAAGTTTTGAATGATGATTATGTATGATAAAAACATGATTCTAATTTCTATTTTTTTTAAACATAAATTTTAGACTTTCTGAATGTGAAATTGCATTAATTTGTCATTTTCGGATTTTGATACAGATGTGAACCWCCAACTATTKCAAAGATATTTTGCAATATAAAATGATATTTAAAAATTGAATATATATCCTTATAGAACCTTTACATCATGACGCATTGCGCGGGAAGTTGAATATATATCCTGATATAACCTTTTAAATCTTTTCAAATATATATCTTGATAGAACAAAATACAAATTTTTTATCCGTAATCGATATGTCCGTTTACATCTTTTCAAAATTTCACATCCCGCCGTATTACGCGGGTACACTACTAGTATATTTTATTATTAAGTGTTTTGCAGTAACATTTATGTATATATTGTTTGGTTTAAAAATCATGAGCTTACTTAGCAATAACCAATATAATTGTATCTCAGGGTCTGAGAAAGTAGGCATCAGTTTGGGCAAAGGACTTGTATAATTTCTTCATCTGAAGTTAGCTGATTATGATACAAGTTATTTTGCTTAAGAACTTTAATTAAAAAAAAATATAACATGTATATTTAAAATAAAAATGTTACCAGTATAACATTATTAACAAATAGAATAACGAATTATAAAAGATATGTCTATCTCTATAACTAAAAAAAACATTGACCAAGTTGAAAAAGATTAAACAAATCCACCAGCAATAATTGATTGGACAAATATTGAGCAAGTCCAATGACGATTTAGAATTTTGAATTTAATTTTTAACGAATTTCAAAATTTTGTCAATTGAGAAGATTCGATCAATTGGGAAATAAAAACTAAAAGCATATCTTGGATGAACTTTTTTAATTGTGCCATATAGTTAAGCCTATAACTTGAAAACTAAATGTAATTAACATATTGTATTTCCTAGCGGTCGGTTCGGTCCAAACGACTGAAAAATGTCCAAACCGCAAACCAAACCGGACCGGACCGAGCAGTTTTGCTACTTTTCAGTCCGGACCTGACCGTCAGACCTCCAAAAACTATCTGGTTTGACTTGGTTCGATCGGTTTGAACGGTCTGATGGTTTTTTGAACACCCTACCTAAATTGAGTACTTCCATCATAACCATCATATTGAATTTCATCTTGGTTGTCTATCTACGATTTACCCTTTTAATTTCATGTCCATAATCTCAAAGCTTTCCATAGCGTTTTGTTAAGCAACCCTCAATTTCAAGAAGTGCCCTAAGTTTGACTCTCATGCATTGGTCCCTGCTAATTTTGACCATAAACTTCTTCAAAATATCGTCTTGCATATCCTTAATTTTTTATGATAGTCTTTCTATGAATTCCATCACATAATGTTTTGCAGTCCAATTTGGTGTCACTGGGGATCTCAAACTATAGTTCCTACTATATATGTAGCTATCGTTAATGCTTTTAATCTAAAATGACTTCGCTTTTTGCATATGTTCATAATCTAAAAAGACACATGCAATCTTTTTGGCCTTTCCCAATGTAAACAAAAGCCTTTCTTGATATAGAGAGGCTAGCAAATGAAATCAAAGACCAAATTAAATCGGGAAAAAACGCAAACATAAGGTCCCGCCAGTTTTCTCGTGACCCATGTCGCCGAGAAAGTCGCGTCAAGCACTGAACTCGAGAACAGAAGCTCACACGACCATTCTCGCGGCCAAAGTCGCAGCCCTACCTGCCTAACTCTCTATTCGATTCCCACGGGTATCCACGCGGCTAAATCGAACGTCTAGTCTCCCGCGACCTCCAAGTGGGTCCACTTTCGTTCGAGCAACTATCCCTTTCCTTTCTCGTACCTTTATCTACTTATTTGTTTATTCAGTTTCCTAGTTGGTTTAGAAGTATGATTAAGTTATTTCCATAGTTATCTTTTATTTTAGCTTAGTCTATAAATAGGTTTGATTGGTTTCTTTGTTTATGATTATCAATTAGTAAAAGTTCTACTTTTGAGATTATTCTCTTGAGTTTTACAATTGTAATACTCAATCCTTAAAAGGATGTAGACGTTTGTCGATCCTTCCGCACTTCCTATTGCGTCATTTCTTAATCACTTTTCATATGTATTAGTTGGTATCCGTCTGCTACCGCATAATTCGTTGAACACCTGCTTAATTAATTGACCAGAATTCTAAGACATCGTGGCTTCATCAATCTCTAAAAGATATTAGGATTTGTATTGATTGTCGCATGTAATGATCTTTAAGGGGCTGTTTACCAAACGCTTACTCGGGTAAGTGCTTACCAGGTAACATTACCTCACCGGATGAATATGGTAAGGACCAAAAATCATATCCGGTAAAAACGAGACAAAGACCAAGAGTCTTACACGTTAAGTGAGGGCGACGACTCTTACCATGGTAAGCGCTTACCGAGTAAATTGTTGCATACAATGTCGTTTTGATGGACTAAAATCTTAGCCGGTAAGTAAATAATAATGTTAGATTTTACCGATTATAGTAAACGGCTCGTTAGACAAGTGTAGTTCCTCTAACGCTTTCTAGAAAGTTTAATGATGTTAACGAAAACTTAAAAATTTCAATGACCAAATTAAAATACGTTGTATTTTGTTGATATTTTCCTTTGACTTATTTTATTTTCAATTTTAAAAATAAAAATTCTATGAATGTTCTCTGAAACCCAAAACCCTCCTCCCAAACCCCCACTCCCCAGCTATCCTCATCCTTTTACTACAAGCTCGCTGCAAAGGGATGGTAATGGTGGCTGCCACCACAACTGCTTCTCATCTAACGTCCACTTTTCTTTCCACCCCAGGTTTGCCACTGCTTACTCTTATCTATTTTTGACACTTAATTGACTTCTGATAGATTCGAATTGATTGCAGACTTTTGTGGATTATCTCGGAGCTTACAATGGCCACATATGCAGGTCAGTTGTTTCTGTTCAGTTGTTCCTTTCAAAGTCATTGTTCTAACTGAACAAAAAACATTTCGACATGGATAAAATTGTTAGCTTTTAAAGAAGGGGTTTCTGGAGGAGCAAGCATGGTGTTCGATGAAATGACTCTGCCATTAAATGAAATTTTTATTTGTTGTGTTCGGGGTTATTCCTTCTCTAGAAAGCACCTCCAGGTAGTAAGCTGTGTTTGTGCTAAGTTGGCATGTGCCACAATGGTTAACTGAAGTTGATTTTAAAAGAAGATGCAATTTGTGTGGTCGTATATGCATGTTTACAAAAGATATTCCTGTAGATTTACAAGGGGGTGAGTTTCCCCTTAAAGACTGTATGTCTTGAGGTGCAGAAATTGAGGTTCTGTTAGAAGATGTTCCAAAAAAAATCTCATTTGCAGGACTTCAAATTCTAGAAGATGACTGCTGAGAAAAAAAAAATTATGTCATGATATCCTTGTGCTCTGAGTGCAAATGACAGTCTTGGCTAAAAATAGTCTCTTTGATTCTATATATATTTATTATCTAGGTTTATGAGCATGCTATCACTGGATCGATTGTAATTGCATTGGATTTCGCTGGTATCTTCATTTTCTGTTGTTTGAAACAACTAAATTTATGGTACAGAGACGGTGTACAAGGAAATATGTTCCTGGGGCAATATCAGCTAGCATTGATCTGAAGCCTCCTCCTTATGCACTGGTAAGACTAATATATGGACCAAAGGTCATTGACCCTGCTGTACCTGGATTACCGGCAGAGTCCAACCTCCCTGGAGGTCAGACAGGGTTCAAGCCTCATCAGAATGAGGAGTGTGTATGAGTTTTGTCTTTTATAAAATATTAACTTCAAAAAAAAGAGTAATATACTGATGTTTGTCTCTTCATGGGTTTTCTTTCTTGACATATAGCTGGGAACTGTAGTATGAGTTACGTGATTTGTTAATTTCTGTAATATATATTCTGTTTCCTGTTACACATGTGATAGCATGCTTTAGAACCACATATGAGCAAAGAGACGTTGGAGTATCATTGGGGAAAGCACCACAGAGCTTATGTCGACAACCTAAACAAGCAAATAGAGGGAACTGAGCTTGATGGAATGTCATTGGAAAGCATAATATCGGCTTCATACAACAAAGGTGATATTCTTCCGGCCTTCAACAATGCTGCACAGGTATGTAACATTGTCCACGTTGTAAACTTACTTCCAGTGGGTAGAAGTCATGTGAGTTGGGATAAAGATGTATAAAGATGCGTAACATCTATTATTTGGCAATATGACCCGAAGGGAATTGGGATTCATATTTGCTATCATTTCCTGTGAATCTCGTTCAACCAAAATTTGATTCTAGTTTCCTTTTTCATACACCTTTTTTTTTCATTTTGGACTTCTTGTGGGATGTTCTTTGGCGGTTTATAGAGTATCTAACTAGTCTTGCCTTCTTCAGAATGTTACTGCTGGTCTACTTGGCAACTAATATTTGGTATTCTGCCCACTCTCAGATTTGGAACCATGAATTTTTCTGGGAGTCCATGAAACCTGACGGTGGTGGAAAGCCTACCGGAGAACTTTTAGAGTTGATAAATAGGGATTTTGGTTCATTTGAAGGCTTAATCAACAAGTTCAAGTCAGCTGCCACTACTCAGTTTGGTTCCGGTTGGGCGTGGCTTGTATGTAAGTGCTTATTCCACCAGGATCCTTATCCCAAACTTAGAAATTAAATCCACCCATGTTTAACAGCTCTCTCTTCTTTTTTCTTTCTAGACAAAGAGCATAAACTTGACGTACCAAATGCTAGAAATCCACGTCCATCAGAGGAGGACAACAAGCTTGTTGTGGTGAAGAGCCCCAATGCAGTTAACCCTCTTGTGTGGGAGTACCATGTGAGTAACAATAATCTTTAAGTTTACTCTGGTAACCATGTTATCTGACATCTTTGACCTAATTAGGCCACGCAATACATGCAAAACCACTACTACCATGTAATTGTTTCAATGCAAAAGTTGGATCAGTAAAAACCAAACAAAATCAAACATAGTATGTCCCACTCGAAAGTTATGCTCCAATGTACTATAATAGGGTGGCAAACTAATATATGACTATGAAATCTTGTCTTGTATTTTTTTTATCTTGGTTATGTTGAATGAATCTTTTGTTTGTCATTTATCTTTTTATTAGTATATAACTGTTATGTTTTTCTTTTATTTTGCAGCCTCTCCTCACCTTAGATGTATGGGAGGTAAACACATCATCACTTTCATTCTCCACAATAAAGAAACTATGTTCATGAAAACGGAGTACTAATTTTACTTTGAATCTAAAATTTGCCATTGCAGCATGCGTACTATCTCGACTTCGAGGTAAGAACTTGCTTATTAGACACAAAAAACAAGTTTTTAAGCAATCCCTTTAGCCCATTTAGCTTGTCTGATGCTTGATTAGTGTTAGATTTAACGGCATTTGAAATTTCATGTTTACAGAATCGTAGGCCTGATTATATATTGACATTTCTCGATAAGCTCGTATCATGGGAAACGGTCAGTTCCAGGCTTGAAGCAGCCAAGGTTCGAGTAGCAGAGAGTGAAAAAGAGATGGCAGAAATAGATGCGGATGAGGACTTGGATACAATAGAACCGGAGGACACGGATATGTATTTTGGTAGTGAAGCTGAGGATGCCGAGGATTTTCTGGATGACGAATGATGACATTTTGATGTGTTCATATGGTGATTTTGTCATTACACAAGTGCGATTTTGTGTGGAGGATGAAAAGAATGTCCATCAACATAGAATGCTTTTGGGCGGCTGAGTTGTCGGGATAATTGTAACCATGTCGTTATTAACTCGTGTCAAAATTGTCCGTACGATTGGAAAAAGGTAGACATCCTTAGAACTCATGTCAAAATTGCATATGTATTGTAGCACGTATACTAGATCTATTAGATGGTATGGTTATGATATTCAACATATATTAGAAGTTTGGCAAGACTAAAAAGAGAGAGACTCTGATCGGGGTCAATCAAATTAAAGTTAGAACACCCGGTTCGTCCTAAAAACATGTAGGGTGCGTTTGATACGTAGACCGGATATAATTGGACCGTCAACAGTGAGGTAACCAGGCCGTGTGTTTGGTATGTGGATTGAACAAGACTAGACGAACGCAAGTGAGAAATGGGTAAAAGATTGCGGAAAGCCTTAGGATTTAACTTAGGGAAATGTTTAGAAGAACCCAACAAACTATATCATTTTGAATGATTAAGTCCATGAACTATTATTTTGAAAGATAAACCACAAAACTCTCATTTGAATGAATAGGACTCTTAGAACATTTTTTTGGATAAATAAATCTTCGAACATTTAAGAATTGATTACCTACATTCTTTTAACCAAAAAAAATTATTTGTAATCAACTAGGAAGGTTTAAAGTAAAAAGATTAAAAAAAAAACAGATTAAATAGAGGAAGATTGATGGCAAAGACAACAGCGTGATAGACGATATGAAAAACAAACAACGATGGAACGATGAGGAGAGGCGAGTGGGAGTGATAACAGTGTTGGCGTGGAGTTTGACTGGCATAGGGTTTGGGAATGATAAAACTGATTTAGAGTTCTTTTTACTTTAAAACTTTCCTAGTCAGTTACCAATAGCTTTTTCTGGGTTAAAATGATGTAATTAATTAATTTATAAAAGTTTGATAGTTTATTTTATTAAAAAATGTTCAATGACTTAATTATTCAAAATGAGAAAGTTTAGTGTTTTTTCATTCAAAAAATAGTTCAAAAACTTAATCATTCAAATCGAGAAAGTTCAATAAAAATAGTTGAGACTTGTTAATCATTCAACATGAGATACTTTGTTGGGTTTTTTTGAATTTTTCTCTTTAATAATTTACTAATCTTGTATCATCTTCCTGATTTTTGTATTTGTTTCACCTATTTTGATGAGACAAAAACATGCAGTTTCGTGTCACCCAATCCCATCATGTCATGCATCTTTGTCTCATTAGTCCCATCATGTCTTAGTCTAATGTCGTGACAAACACGACCCTCTTCTTATCCTGTGTACCAAATGCGCCCAAAGGTTTTACAGACTCGGACCTCCGCCTTGCAAAAACAAAAATTAAAAGGAAACAAGCGAGCAAGCTCATCCCAGAAATGCGTAATGCCATAAAGATCATTGAATCGATAAAAAAAACGTCTACATAACAGAAGTTATTTTCCACGTTACACAATATTATGAAAAACCGCCCGAACAACTGTCTCTAACTCATTGATACAAACAAGGTTCAACCAAGAAACAAGTAGCAACGCAACAACGGCTCATTCCCAGGGAGACTTGGGTGCTTTTTCAATATCATCCGTAATCCATTTTTGAACTCGTTTGACAACAAAGAAGTACTGTAAAAAGAAGCAGAAAATGTACAACCATCAAATGAGCAAACTAGCCAAAAAGGTCAATAAACCAGCAACACCCGGGTTAACAGTAGATTCCAACCTCTTAGAGGTCAAGGTTCGAACCAGTGTGTGTGAGTTTTGCCGTATATGAATATTATATACTTCAAAAAATAAACGAATTATAAACCTTTCAATATAACCAAAGCAAGTTTGATAGCTTACTTGGAATGCTAAGATGAGAGGAATGAACAGTTTCCCCCTATCATTCGCGTTTGGACCATCGATCAACTTTTGGTCAACCAAAATGCTTTTGCTTTCATTGGTAGCAACTTTGGTGATAGTTTCGACTATGCTGGGAATCCAAGCAGTTCCATTTGGAAGAATCTAACGGAAAACACAAGCTAAAATCACGGCAAATAAAGATAAAATCATGGAGCAAAACATGATGGGAATGAATTACAACTAACCTTCTCATCGCTATCGTTTTTATTACACCTGCTGCTGTTCTCAACCAAGACAACAGGAACTGCATGCACCTACAAGAAGCAGGAACAAACAGTCAGAATGCCCAGAAGACCATAATTCTAGTCTTCTGAAATATATCTTGACGAAAAGTTGGAATTCTTTTATTTCCTTTAGTCAAGGATCTAACCCTCCATAAGCCATCTGAAGGAGAGACAGTAAACAATTGTTCTACTCTTTTAGGTAGAGGTCAGATCTGCATACATTTTATCCTCCCAGGCCCTACTTCCAAGTGGGACATACCGGGTGTTCTTGGTTTAGTGTGGGTTTGGTTTTGGTTTTGGTTTTGGTTTTGGTTTTGGTTTTGGTTTAGTGTGGGTTTGGTTTTGGTTTTGGTTTTGGTTTTGGTTTTGGTTTGGTTTGGTCTGGTCTTAAGCCATCTGAAGGGACGAAAAACACTCTTTTGGATACAGTGATGTCAATCAAATCCAGACTTCCCATATGAAGAATAGGCTTTTAACCAGGGTTATAAAAAATTTCCACGAAAAACTCAAAAAGCCTGGTAATAAAAAAGCAACTAAATACCACACGTTCACATTGATCACCAACCAGTGTTCTAAAAATCCCCACTTGGGGCAGCTTAATGCCTTGGTGGACACTTAAGCGGCCTGACTGCTCTGATTAGTTAGGGTCGCTTAATTGGCTGCCTCTATTCCTGATGTCTCATCCTCATTTTCATTTTACTAGATAACTTGGGTCCTAGATAGAAAGCCCCAAGGGCGCCATATTCTAGGAGCCCAAACTGTGAAATAAAATATCACGACGTACCTATCTAGGGAAGTTAAGTGTCCCTTACCACTTTGATTAGCAACTAACTGTTGGGTTAAGTGTATTCTAAGAAAATCTTTCCAACCTATTCTGAGTAATTACATTAGTGGTACAACCAAATTAGACATTTAGGAATCCAATGAAGACAGGGATAAAGAATCAGGATAGAGAGGAGCAATTCTGGTCTTGTTACATAACCGGTTTAGGAATTTACCAATCTCGTCTCATCTCCCAGATTTTCGTTCCACCTATTTTGGTGGGACAAAAACAATGCATTTTTTGTCCCACTCCGGTCTTGTCTTGTCCCAGCCTAATGTCGCACCAAACCTGGGACAAGAAGTTTTTATACTCTCTTGTCGCGCATACCAAATGTACCTTACTGAACTGTATCTCTTTTCGATTTCAGCAGAAGTATACACATAAACACACAGAAGTGATATATGAGAGACTTTTATAGAGAAACAGTACCTTAATTTCACGTTTCTTGAACCGAACCCCAGAGTTAACAACTTTAAGGAGAGCCTCTGATCTTCTTGCGAAGAAATTGTCATAACTAAGGCAATCTGGTGGTGTGAGCTGAGCATGTGTTAGCACTACTATTCCTTTACGCCACATTTCTTTACCAAAACTCTCCGTTATGGCCTTAACAATCTGCCTATCCAAGTTATCCACCCTGTAGGCATCCAGCCGGTCTACATATAACAGAACATCTATTGTTTTGTTCAAGAGAAATCTGCTCAGACAACCACAATATGGCAAATCTTTAGAAGAGCCTGTTGGCATAAACAATATTCAATGTAGTCTTTGATACTATGACCTTGATGTGTGTTAAAATAAAATAACCTTCACGGCTTTTTAATCGTAAATGATGATGGTCGAAGTTTGCAATACGGAACTTACAAATCCTAAAACAAGTGTCACCATTTCTATTTAAGTTGGTCGCAATAAGTGTTACTTTCAAAAATAGATGGCTATAGTTTACAAAATTTCCAACCCTATCGTTAATTAAGAAGCACAAATATTTAAGAGGTGATTGGGGGAGAGAGAGAGAGAGAGAGAGAGAGAGAGAGAGAGAGAAGGTTTGCCTCCATCATAAAGGGTTTAATAATTACAAATTTCTTAAACTATGTGTTCTTTTTAGTGGACATTTACATTGGATCGGAATAAGAATATATCTTTTACTCAATGAAAAGAAAGGTTCTTTCCAAAAACTACACTTCCATCAACATAGAAAAATAGAGTGATTGAAATTGTGATACTCTTCCATCCAAAACAAATGCAATGTTTGGTCTGCCTGATAGTCTATTGACATTGTTTGATTATGTGCATGTGAAATACCCCTTGAAAAAAATAGCCGTCTTATGGGCCAGAATCACTAATAGGCAAGGAGGTAATTTGGGATTGAAACCTTACCAGAAAGGAAATGTTCCATTTATTTCAGGACATCCTGAAATTGAGAATTTGGCAACGATTTTGGATAAAGGGAGCATTAAACTTAAGCTTACAAATATAGGGAAAATATAGAAGGCCTGTGATTTTTAACATAATCTTATATTCCTTCCCCCCCCCCCAAAAAAAATATGCATTAACTTTGTCTGCCGGTCTCCTTCTATCCTCCCAACCACAGAAAAGGCCCCAAAAGCACTCCACTTTTGTCCTTGTAACCACATATTGGGGCAAGCACAGACACACTGCTAGTAAGATGATATGACACTTATTGCATATACACACACACATGTAGACAAAGGATCGTGTGAGAATAGGAGTTAAGGTAAGAAGTGTAAGAAGGGATTTGGACCCTTGATCACTTTTAATCCCGAAACAACCCATGAATTGCGCTTCTAGAAGGGAATTGATCTAGTGGTTCTCCTCAATTAGGATTGATCCAAGGGTGGAGATCCCTTCTTACCCTTCTCACCATAACTTTCATTCTCAACGGAACCCAACCCCACACATGTATATATGTGTATATATATGAGTTCAGATGCTCAACATAACCTTTTGATGAGGTCGAGGGCCTGGTCATTGACATATCCTCCTTCAACAATGCCTGGCGTGTCAATGATGTTCAACGTGAACCCTGACCGCTCACGGGAAACCATTACAGGTCTTGGCACATCTGACTGCAAAATCAAAATAACAGAATGTAAACTAAATAATATTGGAACTCATATGAGCATCATTCTGAAATTACAAGGCTACAACAAATACCTGGAAGGCACTGACTGAGACTGCTCGTTCCCCAAGAATAGAGTTCACCGTTGAAGATTTCCCAACACCACCCTTTCCCATTACAAGGATAGTCAAACTGTCCCTCTCCTGCGATATTTCATAAGCATATGTATAAAGAAATGGCAAACTTGCATGCAATTGAAATGTTTGACTTGTCACACAACTTAAGGAGTTCTATTATTTTTCAGAGATCTAAAAGATAATTCAATTTCAATGGAGTGATTGCCTTTTCAAGCCACTGTATTTGGTTTTTCACTTTGTAGAATATACCCAAAAAAATGCAAAAAGAATCATGGCTACATAGCTTCATTTCCACAACCACTCATTCTTGCAAATTATTTTTATGCTTTAGCAAGAACAATGATTTGTTCCAACAATAATCCAAATACCATGTCTAGAAAATTAGTTGCAAACTTAGCCTCTTTACAAGAAAACTCTCACGAACTCTCAATCGAATACTTAAACCCTGGAAAGTAGTTTTCATTATGACTTTAACCAAAAGCAAACAGAATAATTGGTAATTCGTTTAGACCTTCTCCTTTAGTTTCCCCAGAAGTTCCAGCAACTTAGTCTGTGTGGCAAGAGGAAACTGCTGAATCCCAGTCCATTCACGGGCCATTGAACCTGACAGATTGAAAAACAACACAATTGAACTATATGGTAACCCAGTGTTTACCCATGTGAACAGAACTAAATTCAGAAACACAGTCACATTCCTCACCATGTAAATAACACAATTCACATCCATAGAAAAACAAATTAGCAATTCCACGTAAACTTACCCATCAAAAAGAAGCTTATGTATCCGCGACCACAAATGAAACTAGATAAATTTGATGACTACTCCTTCAGTTTCAAGATAAATGACGTAAATGTCAAATGGATTGCTTTATAACTTCAAATTTGAACACGGATTTCGACTGGTATTGATACCACAAAACAATTTAAGGGAAACGAGGGAGTAAATGTACACAACTCCGAACCCCAGCAAACCAACATTTAAACTCAAATTCACAAAAACAAGAAGATGGGTTTTGGATCTTACCTAACTTTGGAGACAATCTGATATCTGGGACTTCAAATTGAACGTAACAGAGCAAAGTACTATGGATTCAGAGACTAAGTAGAAACCCTAAATTTTTGTTAACGAACACAACTGAAAGAGAGAAGGGTTAAAGAAATGTTCGCTATTGAGCTGCACGAGACGAGATTATCAACACAGGGTTTTTGCAGTTTGGTAAAATTGCACAATTAAACCCTTATCTATATATTAATTAACATGTTTAGTCCACCAAAGTTTCAAGTGACAGTTTTAGTCCATAAACATTTTAATCATCAAATTTTGATGTTACATGAAAATGGAACAACTTTTATTTTGAGGAATTATATATGAAAATTGTAATATAGTTTTATATTTCTTTTAATAAAAGATTTTAGGTTAAAGTTTTTATTCATTTATTTTATGTATTTCAAATTATTTATTTTATATATTTCTTTACTAATTATTTTATTTTTATTTTTATTTTGGATGTTAAATTTATTAAAATTAAAATTATTATTTATTTGACTATTGTGGGTTCATGTTAATATGTTATATCTTTCAAACTTGCTTGTATTTGTTAATTTTGCTTAATATATATATATATGGCATCAATACTAGAAATTAGAAATAATTTGTTTGATATAAAATTAAAATAAAAATAGCAATGAAGAACAAATAGATTTTACTTCATCTGTCCTAAAATAAATATAGTTGATTTACTATTTTAGTTTATCTCAAAATAAATAACTACTTTTAAAAGTAAGTGATCGTTTACCATGTTACATTACCTTACCAGATGAATGTGACAAAGACCAATAATCTTACTCGATAAGAACGAGAGAATGAACAAGAGTCTTACCCCGGAAAGTGAAGGCAAGGTCTCTTACCATGGTAAGGGCTTATCGGGTAAATTATTGCATATGGTGTTGTTTTGGTGAACTAAAATCTTATTCGATAAGTAAGTGGTAGCGTTAAATTTTATCGATAAGCACTTATTGAGTAAGTTGTTAGTAAACGGCCCCTAAATGTAAAAAAATTTATGTGACCCTTAATTTCGAGGTAGAGAAAATTTCTCTCTATATAATTAAGGGTAAAATTGTCTTTTCATTTAACACTGTTTTTTATTATATCATTTGAAATATTTTAATTTTTATTGATAGTTAGACTTTGATGCCTAATTATTGATTATTAGAGTTTGATACATAATTGTTAATTGTTAATTGTTTAGGCTAATTGTCTCATGTTTAAATTCCAATTTCTCAAAATGTCTAATTTTAAATTGTTTTGTGGCTAATTGTTATTATTTTTATTTCAATAGAAAATAGAAAATACTAACATTCGAAACCAATAGTTGTGCAATAATTCTCGTAATATTCCCCAACATATATTATGTTACTTAAATTTCGAAAATTATGACCCCTAACAACAAAATTTCTAGCACCTATTATATTATAGGTGGTTTCATTTATAAATCCAACCAACCATACAAATCAATCTCAACCGTTCATATAGTTTAATGAATATCTCGATTGTTTACTAATGTAAAACGTTGATCATAATAAATGAAAATATTCAAATCATGATAAATAAAATTTCATAATTTTTATAAAGATGTCAATTAATTGGTTTGTATAGTTTATATTAATGATTATGTTTGTAAAAGGTTTCTCCTCTACAATTGGAATGGAGATAACTCAATTAGTATCTGATGGTAAAAAAAAAAAAAACGGTATCCACTTGTTGTAAAACTACTACTTTCAAACTTATTTTCATGTAAGTTGTAATATTTTTATATATTAAATTGTATTAAAATAAAACTAACGTTGTCTTCGATCCTAGTCGTAGAGACACTCAACTTTCCAACTTTTCTTTTTGATCAAAAAAAGGTTAAATCAAAGTTGCTTCCATGATTAGGGTATCTCTATCCTGACACCAATTTTAAACCACTTCACTCCAACCTAACACTAATTTCAGTTACAAAATATTTGATATTTATGCGATTTTAGTTTCTTTAATTGTAAGTTATAATATTTGTTGATATTTTATTATAAATTTTAGTTGTATATTTATTTTTAAGATTCAAACTTAATTAAAATGATGCAACTTTTTGTAATAAAATGATAATCAATTAAAAATTATTTATGTATGAATAAATTATTCTGTTCACAGTTGTATAATTTATAGAATTATTGTAACAAAAAAAAAAAAAAAGCGTTAAATTTGTAAACAATTCAAGAATTTTATTAAAAACCTACAAGTTATGATTAAATTGAAACATTGTATTTGATGTTAAAAACGATAAAATAAATTGAAAATTTTACATGACAAATAATAGTACGAACGGTTGGAAATAACTAATAAGAAACATGAATTAGTTTTTATATGAATGAAACTTTTCCACTCTACGGTTTTCCTCAAAAATATGAAAATAACCACAAATAATAGTAACGTAACGTGTAACAGCAACTGTATGTATGTATGTAGTGTAAAATATAATGAACAAACAACAAAAAAAGGTCAGCAGGCAGACTACAGTTGTCTTCTATACTAACATTAACATACCCATTCTGGAAAAGGATTCTTGTAGAAACAAATATGACCATAATTTACACCAAATCCCAGAAGCAGCATCTTGTGTTGTGCTGAAATAACACACACCACAATCAATGGAAGTAATAACCAACTGAATGCAACAAAAAAATGAAAAAGATGAAAGAGAGCTTAACTTCACCTGGCTCTCTCTCTATATATATATAGTATGGGCATGTCATATAATGTATATTTTACAACTCAGCCCTCTGCTTACTGTTTGTTAAGGAACCTTGCTCCCGTTCGTCTTGCTGCCCCTAAACGTTGAAAGAGAGAAGAATGACCTTGTTGCTGAAAAACAAAAAATACCACACCATATCCAATTTTACTAAGCAAAGCAACCAACACATCTACACAAATAACTTCTGTTCCAAACCAAACAAACCCAATTATGAGCTTTGATAGTTGAATAATTCAAGAATCAAGGTTCAGTATTGAGATGGAAGTATCTGGTTACTTAGCAGTTTCAACTACTTTCAGTTCTTCGTGCTGTTTGGGGTTTTGTTAGTGTTTGAATTCTAAGAGTATAAAGAAACTAGCTTGCAAACAATTAATAGAAACTCTACCTTTTGTTGTATTCACAGAAGAAGAGACATTTTGGGCAGTAAATCTACTAATATTTGTTTGACCTGCATGGATGATAATACCCGTTACAAGCTGCATAAGGAATCTTTTAAAAGGTTTGACATGTTACCGTCACTAGAGTGGCTATTTCAAAATATGATCAGCACTTTTCCTGTTACCTTTAGATTCTTCAGCATCATCATCTCCTTCTGAAAATGCTGATGGGCTAGACCAACCCGTCAGATGGGAATCAGCTTTAGCTTTTCGAGCAAACTTCAAGAGCCGCTTCAATCCTTTGGGTGAATCTTTTTGGTAGACCAAGGCAGGAGGGTGCTCAGCATTTCCCCACTCACCAATATCAGCTTCACTGTTTTCCTCTAGAAGCATTTGAGATAAAGAGTAGCGAACCCGTGGACTTGAAATTCTAGCTGGTGCAACAACTTTGGGAGACACAATCTGTACTGGGCTTTCCTTGCATGGAATAATCTCTTCCTGATGATGCTGTACTACTTCCACCCATGCCGTTGGAGAAATTATCAATTCCTCTTCAGTCCCAGAGTTAACTTTTGGAAACTCTATCCTTTTAAACCCATCGCCGCCACTAATATTGACTTGATTAGAGCTCACTGATTCCTCACACTTGGTGGGGCTAAGCACCTGGGATTCCGAATCTAGATTGATACTCATTTCTGGTGCTTCACATTCCTCCGGATCTGCATTTATATCAGTAGTCATGACTACCTCATTGTCCTCAGCTTGGATCAGAATTCCAGAGCTTCCAAGAGTTTCCTCAGGCTGAGCCACAAACTTTGTCTTGATAACAACTGGACCAACACCAGGTCCGATCCCAGAGCCCTTACGAAGAAAAGGCTTTGTTTCTAACGGAACCACACTACGTTTCTTAGTAACTTTGTTGTAAAAGCTGGGTTTAGCAGCAGTAGCATTATCGACTTCAGTAGTGCGAACTTCTGCCTTAATTGTCTTTGTGCTTTTAGTCACTGTTGGCTGCTCCTTCTCACTCACAGTTTTATGACTCCTGTTAGCATCTGGTGGCGTTGCTTTTGGAGTTGTTGCTCGTGGTTGCGACTTCTCACTTTTTGTGCTGGAACGAACAGCTGATGATGCAGACTGAGGTTTTCGACTTGTTGGTGTGGTACTGGCAGAAGTGGGGCCAGTCGGAGTTCTAGCAGGTGATGCCCCTGTAGCTCTTGGTGACGGTGTTGATGACCATGACTTGCGTGTAGCAGGTAAAGCAGATGTTTTAGAAGTAGCTTTCTTCAAAACAGAAGGTTTTGTGGCTTCCTTTCTAGAGTTCGTCAATGCGGTTGAGTTTTTCTGAGTTTTCTGGGGCTTATTTGCAGTAGTGTGCCTGCTATTAACATCAATCACATTGGTGGAAGCCATCTCAGCTTTTCTCTCATCAAGGAATCGCTGCATCACTTTAAATTGGGCTTCTTTCTCAGCTCTTTTTCCAGCAACTTCTCCTCGGAGCTTTTCATCCCTCTTTTGCTTATAGTGATCATAAAATCCACCTCGTTGCTCCTTCGGAGATTTCTTACTCTTGTTAATATCAGTGGTCGGGTTTCTCTGTCTAACCGGCTTATTATCCATCATTTCCATGAACAGCTGGTTCGGTTCTGCTTCCTTCTGTTGACTCCGTACGACGGAGGCAGGATGCTTTTCACAGATTTCTTCTCTTTCAGGTTCAAGAGTCTCCACCTTCACACTGGATGGCTCAGGTGCTCCTCTTTCAGGTGAGTGTGGTGTGATGTTTTCTGCAGTCTCAGCAGAAACCTGACTTGTAACGGTACAACTTTCTGACTCTGCTTCTGGTGCTACATTTTCTGGGCTGATTGGAGAAGTCTTGGTATTAGCATCAGGAAGGACCCGGGTAGCACCTTCACCCATTCCTGAACTCCATCTTCTCAGTACAGCTTTGTTTGCACCAACGGTTGTATTTAATAATGTCTTTGTCTTCGGAACATCCACAGTTTGGTCTCTCTGTTTGCTTTCAAAAAGACTGATTTTATCTTGCACGCTCATTCTTAATACGTTGTTCTTGGGCGGTTTCTCTGGGTCTTCCTCGTCACTACTGTTGCCAACTGCATCTCTCTGGAACACCACCTTTTCTCTAGCTGGAAAATAGTTGAGGCTCTTAATAGTTAGTGCAGTGGCCCTGCGGGAACCTGATCGTCCAATTTGTATTCGACGCATAGGAGATGCTGACCTCCTAGGAGTTGCAGACCTTGTAGAGGCACGACTTCTCTCAACAGATGGTTGGTCATTCTCACTTGAAAAAGAAGAATTTTCATCGTCTGTTGAGCCTTGTCGTTCAACTTGCGCAACTTTTGCTGGGGAGACACCATATTTTATAGGTGGATCCAACTGTGAAGGCCGAAGTGCAGGAGCACTTTTTTCAGTCTTATTGGAGCTGCCATTCCTAGAGTATTCAACTGATGGGAAGTGACTTGTTTCTACGAACTTCTGTAATGAATCCCTGAAACAAGTATGGTAATATTAAGTGTTGGTGTGCACGATTAAGTCACTAGAAAAGCGGATGGGAAGAAAAAAAAAGGATAAAACGGTATGCCAAAAGAACTGCTATAGGTGCTAGTCTACCAATTCGCATTGGAACTATCCTAATTCCTACCTCCTAAAAATCTAAAGCCAGAACTCAGATATTTGATTCATATATTGATTTCTCAAAAGTGTAAATACGACAACAATGCACATAGAGAATTTTATTCATGCAAAGATACCTTATTTTTTTGGCTCCAAAATGATGAGCAAAATTTTCCAAGTCAGAGAGGTCCTTAGTTGAGCATCTGGCACCAGTAGCCTGGTCGAAGGCAGCAGCAATTTCGTCCTTCAATGCTGTGAGCCTTAATTCAACTGCTCTCAGTAGTTCATTCCTATCAGAAGCCACAAAATAAGTTGATTGAGAAAATGCATGAGAATAAACTGATCAAATGATAGATCATGAAAAGAACACATACTTTGAATCAATTGATGATGTAATATCAACTTCAGCCTGTTAGAACACAAGCCATGAGTCATTTTTCTTCCAGATAATACATCCAGCTGATGAGATTAATACATATACACAAACATCAAGAGGGAAAAAGTTGGAAAACATACCTTCACAGACAACGAAAGTTGGAACTTTCTGGTCTCCTCTAGTTGAGCAATTTCATTACCAATACTAAGGATTTCTGGTGAACCAACTATGTATAGAAATCTGACAAATTATAACAAGGTAAAGCAAGCAGAAAGAGATTAATGGTCTTTTAATCCTTTGAAAATGCACATAGAAGGGAGATTCAGAATGATATGCACCTTGTGAATGTGGCTGTTGTAAACCACTCAGCATCATCAGCATTGTCAGGTGGTAAAACTTTGAAATTTGTGTTTGAGCCTGTGCAGGATAAATCCTTTACTCGAGACGAATGCAACAACAACTGTTCCAAGGTTCCGGCTGCTACTTTTTCTGTCCTGTTGCTACTAGATACGCATGCCTCATACCTACAAAAGATGACGTGAGGACAAACTTGAATAGCATCTAAAATAGTTGCATACATTATATCAGTTACAGATGAGCTCAAGAGCTCTGCATCTACAGCCTACAAAGGAAGCCAACCATTTTCCACTTGTCATCATCTATAAAAAGATTTCCCTGGCTAGTTTTACTCTGGAAATAGGTAGATCACAAGAAATGTTAGCAGACGCATGAAAGAACCCTTGAAAACAGAAATTTTATTGGGCAGAAAAAAGGATATGAGTAGTTAAGATTTGGTATGGAATGACGAAAAAGTGTATCAAGCTGTGAGAAAAATAATGTTCTACAGGTGACACTAACTATGAATTTCTATATATTTTTCTCCCAATGAATAAGGGTTAAAGGTTGCCATCTTAAGTAAGGAACCAAAAAGTAGGAAAGAAGAAAGCAAAAGAATAGAAAACAAGTGATCAATGTTAACCAATTTCTTTTGAGGATGATTAGCATAAGTGACTTCACATTTTATCATTTCATAGTTTTCTAGCTCAGTCAAACAAACCAAACTACATCTTTAAGATGATGAAAAAATGTGTACAAGCAAGTCTCTCAATTTACTATAAACACACATTTCAATGCTCACTGTTACTTCTCTCCAAAGCAATGTGCAATTAACTCAACATTCTGATATTTGAATGCAGACTTATGCTTGTAAAGTATAAATTAACGGCTAACAACACAATCTCATACAAACTGAAGCAATGCACATTTTCATATTTGGGGGGGAGAGAGAATTGCTAATTTGCTACGTCGGAGATTCATCAAGAGGTTTAAAAACAAAAAAAAAAACCTGTTCTGGCTTGGAAAAATCTTAAGTTCAACATAATCAAGTGGCGCATCAGGATCAATTCCTCTCTCCATCTCCATCTCCATCATCAACCTGAAGCAACCAAACAAAAACCCCTAATTTACATACGAATGCTCATAATAGAACTTGCCGACTTTCAATATACTACAAAGCACCGCTTTACCATCCCGATTATAGAAGTACGCTTAAAAAATTCAAATATTTCTACTAAACAGTAAACACAAAAGGGAAAACATGACAGAATTTTCAATATCGCTCAACGCGAATTATGAACTAAAAAGTAACCGACGACAAAAAAAAAAGAAAAATAAAAAATGAGCATAGAATAGAACTATACCTACCATTGAAGATTAGATCTAGCCAAAGAAAAACCCTAATCTTAACGATAAAAATTCTGAGCTCACCGACACCAAAATAATCAATTTCATGGCAACAAATTTCAATGGATAGCAGCTCATTTGAAATCTCAAAATGTACTAGTACGCATTATGCATGTGGTAAGAGGAGTACATGTGCACATTAAGTATATGCATTTGTAACAATACAAAAGGAAAGTTTAAGTATCATTACTTTAAGAAGAAGAAGAAGGTGATGAAGGAATCTTGAGAGTTTCAATGGAATGTGTGTAGTTGAGGCGGATGGCGGTGGCGCACGGCGTTTGATAGCGTTTTAGATTTTAGCAGCGGGAAGTAGAAAGGACAAAGATAGGGGGAGGGGGTGGTGATGGCGCGTGGTGTCACCTTCTTCTTTTGAATGAAGAAAAAACAAGTGGGGTTGGATTTTGTTTTCTTTGCTTTGAAAAAATGAAAGCGTGAAGAGCGTTGCATTGGTCCCTGAAATTCTATTTATTTAATTGAATAATCCCGACATTTCAAATCAATATTTAAATACAAAACTGATTTTAATTAAATTCGATATTTATAAAGTAGGTGGTTGTATTAGAATTAGTTGGTTCGTATAGCGGATTGGATATCCAAGTTAATCAAAAAATATATATACAAAAGAAAGGGATTTAGGGTAAAATGTAAGTCTCTAAAAAGTAAAAATGGCATTCACCTAACTACAAAAAGGTAATTCAATTGTTTTTTTTTATGCATATCCATTTCGGGACGAGAGTATTAATTTTATATAATTATGTTTATTTTGTCTTTTATGTTGGTTACTAGTAAAAATGTAACGAAAACTTATGTCTTTTTTCTTCAAAAGATGGGAGTTTCAAATCCAATAAGAAATAAAAAAATCTCTTTATGACTAAATGCGGTGATTCTAGGCCATCTGTAAAATATGTGATTGTCTTGGAATTAGTCAGCTTTATTTTTACAAGTTGTGGAGTAGATAAAAATAATTAGTCAGCTTTGTTTTTACAAGTTAAGGTTGCGGAGTAGAAAAAAATGGGAAATGGTTATATAAAATGGAATCAGCCAAGGTTTTTACTGTTACAAGTGTTGCTATCAATCCATAGGTACGAGTAATACGTGGTATGTGGGGAGGGGCGGTTGGTTAGGACCACCACCACACCCTCCGCCACTTTGTTCGTTGCATCACCAAGAAACTACTCTTTATTCTGCTTTTCTTTTACCAATCTTAGCTTACAAGTCAACCAATCTCTCTAATGCTTACATTTATAACTGCAAGGCTATAAATTTTTACACATGTTCCATTCACATATTTCCTCTTTTTAACGATTAAAATACATCCCCATTCATATTCATATTCATATTCATCTTACACAACCAATCTCTCTAATGCTTACATTTATAACTGCAAGGCTAGAATTTACATCAGTTGGACCATACATGCACTAACCCCAACCTGTTACCTGTATAGATCTCGTTACGTTCTTCGTCATAAAAAAGGGCCGTAATGTCCTCCAGAGCTTCTGTAACAGAACTCATAATCCTTCGCATTCGCTTTCTTGACCTGCTGTTGCATTTGCAGCTTCTGCTACTGCTACTGCTACTGCTACTGCTACCACTGCAACTACACTCGTCCAACGGAACACCGTTTTTTGCCTTTATTTTAGCAAGGCATTTCCCTGTCAATATGTTGCTGATATTTATCGAACCTGCAAACAATATTCAATCTTCGATGTTATGCACTCATACAATAGTTTGAAATATAAGTTGGGGAAGTTACCATTTCCTTCTGTGATAGGATCATCGGACTCGGCTTTGCAATATGAAATAATAAGATCCTGATCGCTTGTGATGTATATATTGTTAGTGTTGCAGTCAGGATGCCACAATAAATGATCCTCGAACGAAGTCACAAGTTCCCCACGGAAGTTCCATACAGCGACTGTTCGGTTTCTGAAAGTCAGGAATAATTGGTTCTCGTACAGAAAGATGAATGCAGATGGGGTCATAAACTCTGTCCGGCTAACTTCCGTTAGGTCGGAATTGCGTACCTAAGTAGAAAATAAGCTTTAGACTTTCGGTGTACGTTTAACATAAGAATGTAGCGAAGAAATACGACAGTTTCTTACATCAAGAATCTGGAGATTCTCGTTTTCTTGCTTGACAAGAAGCTTCTCGTTGAATTGCTCAATGAAATCCACCTTCTTGTTTCGGTGAAGGAGATGATTAAAAGATTTTAGAACAGTTCCATCTTCAATAGAGAGAATCTTGAGAGGAACATGACCGCTAGCTTTATTATATATCAACAACATGATTCCCGGACTGTGTTTTGGAACATGGTAAAAGGAAATATCATGAATACATACCAAAAAGAACCATTATTAAGAATACAGTAATTATTGACATTTAAAGTGGAATATAACATGACACTGCCTATCATTAAGAAACGACTTAAAAGATGATATAAGATCCTGTAGAAATTTCCAGTCATTACATGCAATTGGCTTGCTTCAATTATAAAACGGAAGAGTAAATTTAGGAGCCAATATTGTTTGGGAACACAAGATAGAATGCACAAGTACAACAAACAGCACATGTATACTGCAAAAGACAATACAATCAAGGTGTATTTTGGTACACGACTGAGAACTGTGGAAGGTTTTAATTTAACATTGATAGTTTAGTAATTTATCCATCTTGTCCCATCTCCTTGCTTCTTGTTCAACCTATTTTGGTGGGACAAAAAACTACATTTTTCCCTAGCTTTTGTTTTCTTACGTCTTATCCTGTCCCGCATACCCTAATTGCCATCGGATGGAACACTCGGCGGTTGCCACAAGACGACGGGTACAATCTTAATGCAAAAGACCACTAGCTAACATAGCATTGAATAGAGATTCTGAATTAACCGTTAATTCATTCCCTAATTTGTCATTGCCATAAAGATAAACTTCTGCCTATTTTCATACACGTAAAAGGAAAGAACAACTACCTCACAGACCATGCAATAGGATCATTATCAAAAGTACTTTTCAAGCATCAATACCTACGAAAATTAAAATGCATAAAAAATTACATTTAAACCTCCTCAATTCACCATCCTGCAAACATACCTGTGGTATTTGAAATTTTATCTCCTCTACTCAACATGGGATTAAGTTTACTAACCTTAAGTTCTCCTAAATGAAGACCTGTCTAGCCTGACAAATGAAAGTCAAAGTAACAAAGACAACCCAGTATTCCATGATGCACTTCCAACATCTCCATGTTAAATGGGTTTCAGAACTCAATCAAATATATTCATTTGGTCTATGTGGTTCAAAATTCCATAAAACACCGAACCTAAATATCTTAGCAGCAAAAAACCTAGCACTGGCAGAGCCAGCACATGCCCAGGGTATTCCTGGGATCACCCTGAGTTTCATTTTCTTTTTACATAGTTTAATTGTATATTAATAATAATAAACTATCAGGCCAACATCCTCAAACCAAGGCCACCTTCAAGTCAAAAGAAATCAAGCCCTCAAATCAGTTCCATTACACAACTAAAAGAAATTCACTACCTAGGCTACACTTCAATGTTTCCATTCCTCCAACCCAAACATTTTTGTATGGTTTATATATTTTACCATATTTTAGGGTTTATTTACTTTGCTATTTTTTAGGATTTATTTATGTTACTATTGTTTAAGGTTTATTTATTGTCTTCTGTTAACAATGTTTGTGGCTATATAATATTGGACAAACTAAGGAATGCAATTTGAAAGTGTTTCTATTTAATGAAGGCAGACGATAGATTATGCTGGGACTTGGAGTTTGTCAGAATTTATTTCTTACTCAATGATTAAATTGTTTATCGTCAGAGGCCACGAATGACAGATAATTCTAAACAAAGTCATGTGGAAATCATCTTACATTTAATTTTAAGAGGATTGTTGAAAGTGTTCCACTTTTGTGATGTAGATCCATGCATTTACTTTTGGATTGACTGTTGCTATCAATATAATACTTTTATTTATTTTTTTCTTTTATATAAAAGGTGATACCTGGGTGATTTTCTGGCTCCCCCCTTAAACCCTAGCATCACTATTGAAAATCATCGAACTTCTAACCAAAAATTCGTTACCAAATCCTTATCAATCTCTCAAATTCAGTAGTGAAAGCTTTGCATAAGTCAACAAGTAATTCTTTCAAGATAAGACTCTAATTGAGCAATCACTAAACAACGTCATATCGAAAAAACCGAGAAGAAACTGAAAATTCAGTCATAAAATTCCAGCCAAGAAAAGATTTTACCTTATTTTGATCTCTTGTACACTTTTATCTGATATAGAGTACAACAACGTATAATTTTTCAAATCGAACACCTTATAAATGCTGCAAATAAATAAAAGAAGAAATTAACATCAATCCGAGGAAGCAGCACATTTATGCAAAAAGACAGGGACTATGATGTAAAAAAAGTACCTATCTTGTGCCGAGAATGTCAGCACCTTCCCATTCACATCATCAAATTCCACAAAACCAGGCCATTTCAAAGATTCTGACTCGAAAAGAGAAAAACCAGCATCAGGTTGACCTCTCCGTATGTATCTGTCACCATTATCAACAAGATATAGTTTCAGTAAAAAAAACTAAAAGAATCGTGAAACTGATATTTTGATCATACTACAAATATACGAATGTTGAAGTTTTACATACTCAATCCTTGTTGTTCTGCATTTCAAGGAGCTAAAACTATCTGAAGCATAGACCGACACTGTAATGAGTGAATCATTGTTCTTATTGTAAAACAAGCTTCTTATAACTTCATCGGGACTGACGTTCAGAAAGCATATTCTCTGATTAGACTCTGCAACATAAACATGACATATGAGAACCATTCAACATTGGGTATATAATTCAAAAAGTGCATACTTATCTTCGTGATTATACCTCGGCTGAATGCAGCACAAACTCCAGATTGTGCAAGAGCAAATACTATATCACGAGCAGCAACAATCTCAATGATTTTTGACCGTTTCTTAAGAAACGGCAATACTATGGAGCAATGTCCCTTTGGATCATGAGTATCATACTCCTCCTGATGCCATTATTCACCAAATAAATCATTTTAAGCAGTTAGCCAAAACTAATTATACCAAGAGAGCATATCAAGTACTATAAAGTGGTAAATTTTATCAAGCTCAACCCCCAATATCAGTGCACAAACATAGATGGGCAAAATTAAGTATGTACATGGCCCACGTGATTGTTAAAATTACATTGGACCCTACTCACACAGCTAAATAACAAGCTCCAGGACAAAATATATAGAATATCGACCACCACAGGTGGACAATAATAAAACATGTATCCATAATATGCCAACTCTCATGATTCACGAAATCCGATTCTATTAGTGATTCCAGCTTCACAAAAAGATGAGAAACTATCATTTCCAACTTGAAACTTACATGTATATTTTGTGTTTCTTGTTTAAATTAGCTAATATAACTAAAAACGTGAAGAAAGCCTCACCGTTAACTATATCTTTAATGATAACCTACACAAATGGCAGCGAAATATAAATAAAAGCCACAAGAAAAAAAAGTGTAGCATTGCTTTACACGCTAAACCGTCCTTAGTTTCACAAAGTAGACATAGTTATTTAGAATACCCTTCTTTATCACCCACATAAGCGAGTTCAATTTCAAATGTATACTGTAAATGGTTTACTAGAATGAAACCCTAACGCTAATCATATTCAGCAAGACTAACCTTTGGTTCATTCTTAACATCAAGTGATTAAATCCCATTTCTTTGTGTAAAACAACCACTAATTGAACATAATTAAAATCAAGAATCGCATAACTTAAAAAGGGGAAAGAAAAGAAGAAATAGCAAACGAATAAGAACCTGCAAGCGGATGTTTCTGAATCTCTCCTGAGCATCGCACATTCTAAAAGCACGATCCCTCTTGGAACAAATCTCCCTCCTCTGAAGCTTCTTAACGCTATTCACAAACCCATCAATACCTCCACGCGGCCGTTTCTTAGCCACCACCCGCCGACCACTACACGGTCGTGGACTCGCCGTGATCCTCCTACCGTCCATCGCCCAAAATCACTCCACCTCCCCCCCCCCCTTCTACCGTACACCCACACAAATCAAAACCCTAATTACCCGCACGTATATAGCGGTCTGTACCCAGAAACAACTATCGATCAAAACACAATTACAATCAAATTTCAATAATTTGTCGTAAAAGAACCCTAAATCCCAGGACCCCGAGTAGAAATCATCAGGGATTTTGATTGCTCGTGGTCCTGAGCAATTAATTTGAACAAATAACACTAAATTTGGAAAGTGAAATTAAAATCTAACAACTGATTCAGTGTGTAAAACCAAATCTTTTGTTTCTCCCTCTGGAGAAATGAAGGGGGAAGGTTTCGAAGCAGATGAAAGCGGTGCGGATGAACTTTAACGCAAATATATAATTTAAAATCATAAAATTGTGTCGGATTTTATAAAAATATGGCATCCGATTTGATTTCAAAATCGTGAATTTGAAACGGAACTTTCCGTATACGCCCTTGTATGTTTAAGTATTTACAGAAACAGTCCTCCAATTTTGTAAACAGTAATCAACGACGGTTTTAGCCTTTGTTGAGCTTTGCTTCTCCTTTTTTGTCCCTTTTTGGGTTCTTTTGTATCCCACCTTTCCATAGAGTTCAATATCCTTTAAGGGCCGTTTACCAAATATTTACCCAGTAAACGCTTAGCGGTAAACTTAACACTATCATTTACTTACTGAATAAGATTTTAGTCTATCAAAACGGTATCGTATGCAAAAATTTACACGGTAAACGTTTACCATGGTAAGAGTTGTCGCCCTTACTTATCGGGTAAGACTCTTGGTCATTGTTTCGCTCTTACCGGGTAAGATTTTTAATCTTTACCATATTCATCCGGTAAGGTAAAATGACTTGGTGTTCACTTACTCGAGTAAGCGTTTGATAAACGGCCCCTTACTCATTAATAGAGGTATCCGTCAACATGTTTTTGTTGTTGTTATTTCTTCTTTTAAGACAAGCGACCATCGTGTGACTCTGCAATTGGAGATTTATCGTTCATACACTTCAATAGATCCCGGCCATTTTTATATGACATTTTCTCATCGACTTCCCTTGTCAGTTTGTTTTGCTCTGGAAAGACACAAGGCCTAGGTTTTAGGGATGTGGGTTCGAGCCTTCTGAAATCGTTTTTAGTAAGAAAAAAAAGAGTTTGGACTTTTGGGTCCGAACCTTTTGTGTGAAAGTAGTCCCAATCAGGATTTTTAGGTATATGATTTTGAAAGAAAAAAAAAACTTTGCCCAATTGCACTTTTAAGCCTGACCTGGACTTCGGGTTTTGCTATGTCCTTGTTTTTTTCCTGTCGACCCTAGGTTGGGGTCGGGCCGGGTTTTGGACCTTTTGTGCATCGCTATGGTGCGTCCTTTATATTTCAACGTGTCATTTTCTTGCCAAGATAAATCTCTATAAACATTGCAGTAGCCTTTGTCTAAAATTGAAACCTTCGCAATCACAAAGTTGATTATATATCTTCATCCTCTAAGGCATCTTTCTTTTTCTTTTTGGGTCCATCTTGTCATTACATAATTAAGAACTTCTTACACAAGGGTCAAACAATGGTTTTTTTAAGTCACATGAAATTGAGAATGTGTAACTACGACTTCATGCTCACGAGTTTTGGTAATGAACTCATTTCGATTTGTGTACTTGTTATTTTCTAGTGGTTCCATTTGTAGTTTATGTATCATTTGCTAAGATTCTAGATCCAGTGTTTCGATTGTGCTATTTGGCTGCAAGTAGTATGAAACTCTCAGTGTTTATTCAATAATTGGTTAGGATTTTGGCTTCAGCAGTATTGTTCTTAGCTGGTGTGCTTGTAGGCGAAGATCTTGTTGCGTAATAACTTCAAGAGTTCAAAGAGAGATCGTTCATAAATTTTCATTACGTAGCTGCAATGTATTTGTTGTCAAAAGTTTAGTAATGTACACATTGAGGTTTTCCAGTTTTCATACTTCATGGGTTCGTTCTCTAAGGTTTTACAAATCTTATATCTTTGGATTCCAATCCATTTGGTGATGATGGCGATAGCGGTAACAGTAGTGATGGTGGATCGGAGGTGGTGCTTGAACGGCTTGTACAGTTGTGTAAGGATTTTAAAACTTGTACAAGATGTTCTAAATGTCTGTACATTATAAGTTAAACAGGTGTACCTGTTAAACATTGTAGATGCCTTTGTCTAAAATTGAAACATTTGCAATCGCTAATTTGATACTTCATCCTCCAAGGCATCTTTTTTTCTTTCTTTTTGAGTCCATCTTTTCGTTACATAGTTTTGAACTTCATACAAAAGGGTTAAATAATGGTTTTTAGAGTCACATGAAATGGATAATGAAGTAGTTTTTTTGGTTTGATAATTGGTCATACAACATATATGTTCTCTTTTTTTTTCTTTTTTCTTTTTTTGCATTTTGGTAGAGGGATTCTAGTTGTAAAATATCTAATGAAACTGTTGCTGGAATTGAGAACTTATTCAAACGTAATTACGACTTCATCTGCATGATTTCTGGTAATTAACTCATTTCGATTTTTCTAGTGGTGCAATGTGTAGGTGAGTTTCATTTGCTATGATTCCAGATCCAGTTAATGTTTCGATTGTGCAATTTGCACTTCGAGTAGTATGGAACTCTTAGTGAGTGTTTGGTTTGGTGGAATGATTTGAGAGATTTGGATTTCGTGGAAAGATTTGGAATTGGAGAAATTTGGATTTAAAAGGATTTAAAATATTTCGTGTGATTCGTTTGTAGGATTTGGGACTCAATTGAATGCCATTTTTTAAACAATTTATGAAAACAAAGTATAAGAATAATTAAATTATTTTTTATTAATTGATTATTATAAAACACATGTTTTCAACATATTTTAAAACATTATTATACACAAATCCTATGAAATCACGTGAAATACCAACAACTCCTATGGGATTTCTAAATCCCATGTTTGTGGGATTTCAATGAGATTATGGGAGTTCAAATCTAAGCAATCCTTCAAACCAAACATGAGATGAGAATGTAATTGAATTCCAAATTCCTCCAAAATCCTATTTGATCCCACAAACCAAACGAGACCTTAGGAGGCGTTTGGTTCGAAGAAATGGTTTTAAGGGATTTGGATCTCGTGGAAGGATTTGGAATTGGAGGGATTTGGATTTGGATTTGGATTTGGAAGGATTTGAAAACTTTGTTGTGTTTGGTTTGTAGGATTTGGAATGGAATTGAATTCCATTATTTAAAAGAGAATTATAAAAAAAATTAAATAACCTTTTTATTAATTGATTATTACAATAAAAATGTTTTTTTAACATAATAGCCATTATTACATACAAATCCTATGAAATCCGTAAAATACCAACTCCATGGGATTTCAAAAGCCTATATTTGTGGGATTTCAAAATCTTATGTTTGTGGGATTTCAATCTAAGAAATCCTTCAAACCAAACATGGGATTGGAATGGAATTCAATTTCAAATCCCTCAAAATCCAATCCAATCCTGCAAACGAAATGAGACCTTAGTGTTTATTCAATATAGGATATTGGCTTTCATATCATTGTTCTTGGTTTAATGTGTTTGGAGTCTGAGTTCTTGTTGTGTAATAACGTTAAGGGTTAAAAGATAGGTTATTCGTAAATTTTCATTGGTAGTTGCAAAGCATTTTTTGTCTAAAGCTCAATATCGCATTGAGGTTTTTTAGTTTTCATATCTTCATTGGTTCGTTCTCTAAGGTTTTAGAAATTCTTATATATTTATACATAGGGATTCCAATCTGTTTGGTGGGGATGGCGGTAGCAGTGGCAGTAATGATGGTGGATTAGGGTGTTGGTTTTAAGTGCCCAAGATATAACATGTAACGGTATGGCTAATGATACATGGTTAAGTCAAATGAAATAGTTGACCCACACACTACGCCAGTTCAATTGAGATCTCATATGTATTGTTTTGCATACATGCAAGAAGTTTTAATTTTACATGCATAAATTCCAATGTATTTCAATATATATTTTATTATTAAGTGTTTTGCAGTAACATTTGTGCATATATTACTTGGTTTAAAAATCACGAGCTTACTTAAAAAATAGCTAATATAATATGTATCTCAGGGTCTGAGAAAGCAAGCACCAGTAAGGGCAAAGGACGTGAGTAATTTCTTCATCTGAAGTTAGATGATTATGATACAAGTTATTTTGTTCCACGTATTTTTATGTAATAGGCTTAGTATCTAATGTTGCAGACTATTTAAGCATTTCAGTTTGTTTAGTATTTGATAAGCTGTTTAAGTCTTTTGCTGCAAATGATTGTAAGATAATTATGGTTTCAGTTCTTTTTCCTTGATGGTTCAACTTTAATTTTGGGTGTGACAACTTGGTATCAAAACAGTGGTTTAAGAGAAATAGGTTATGAATTAGCTTAAGCTTAAATTGTATGATTCAGGTATTAGAATGCTTCAGTAAGGTTGAGCAAGAAGTGATGATGGAGTATGAACATATGAAGATAAAATGATTTTGTGATAGACCAACCCTTAGGTGTGATATAGATGGCTTGAGAGCCTTTGGATTTTGTGGATGGTTACAGGAATTGATTTCAAATTGTTCTACAGTTAGTAAGGGAGTGGATAATAGTATTTAGATTATTATTTTGATCGACATTAGCTATATGTATCAGTTTACTCGGCATATTTCAAACATATGTGGTTTATGTCCAGTTGCTAGTTCGTATTTTCACTATGTATCTCTTCCTATTACTAAATATTGTAATCAATTAATGTATTGGTAGTATGCTCAAATCAAATACATTGATATAATCATTATATGTAATATTAGAACAACTAGCTAAATTTTATGTTCCAACGCTAGTTTGTATTGTTTCAATAATCAAGGATATCTCAAAGAGATGGTAGGACCACATCTAATATTGAAGATAATGTGAACGATCTTGTTCAGCCGACAATATCAACTAGTAGAGGCATGGTAGGGGTAGAGCATGGGCC